CTGTAGTTGCTCCTTCAATTGCAACCTCGTCTGCCACAATGTCTTCCTGAAACAGGAGTCTCTTCCCATGTTTGTTGGTACCACTGTTGGCATTTCGAGTCGTCTTTCCAGTGCTAGGAACACATTCGTTTACTCCAGCCAGCTTATTCCAACCAGTACCACTGGCACTAAGCTTTGCTATTTCAATGCTAGCTGATGGCTTCCATTTGGTCCGTGGTGTGGGAGTTGAATCTGCCATGTCTACTAGCTAGCTGGTACGGTAGCATTCACGTGGATCGAGAGCGAAAATTATGGCGTACCGGATCTTTTTTTGCCTTTGCAGTGTTTCGGGTGGAGAATTATTCTATCAACGCGCACTGTCATTTCAATGGCTCGCCGGGCTCTCGAGCGAATGAAAGATATAATGGTTCTACTGTGCTAACTCGAAATTTGGCGGTATTGAAGCTAGAATTTAGCGCGAATTTCGATAACTCAGCTATCCAGTGAGAGTACGAACGTTCGAGATTCCGGATTCCGTTCATATGCAAAAGATTTGTTGAGAACATAGGTCTGTATTATTCGCAGCTTTATGCCGACTTACATCCTGGGTTCGACCACCTTAACATCCTGGGTTCGACCACCTTAACATAAGGGAGGATTTTGAAATTGAAATTGAAATAAATTGATCCCAAATCCACAAACGTCGGACGGTCCAGGACCGTCCGACGGTTTAAACTCAGGATTTAAAAAAGCTTAAAATTCCCACGACTGAGGACCGTTTAAAACATCCCTTAAACACCCCCTTAACAACCCCTTAAATCTTCAACATCCCCTTAAACAACCCCTTAACAACATCCCCTTATATCCTCGAAACACCCCTTACGCCTGCATTGAAACGCCATACAACATCCCCTTATCACACACAAACATCCCCTCAAATAAACAACCCATTAACAACAACCCCTTAAATACGCAACATCCCCTTAAACATCCCCTTTTAAATCTGTACATCCCCTTAACATCCCCTTATCGAGAACCAGGACATTAGTCAGTCGTGGCAGGTTTTAAAGCCTGAGCGAAAACTGTCGAACGGTCCAGTACAGTACCGGAAGGGGGGCCACAATCAGAGCGAGTTTGGAGGCCGGAGCTGCAGTGCTGCAACCACATGGAACTGGTAGTGTTTTCTAAACAACGCCGCCACTGTGGCGCTCAATCTCCTTCCTCTTGTTGCCTCAAGGAGCAGGAGACGGCTCCTGCTTCTACAACAACAACCATTACTCGACAACACCACCATCTTTGATGCTTACGCTTGTTGCTACATCGGTAGTAATCTAGCTAGGCGAAGTGTAGACCCTTACTTGTACCATATGTTAGAAGCGCGGTTTCGCCGAGTATCAGCCTCGGGAGTGAAAGTTCCCATTTGCACACCTTCGTGCCATTCGAAAAGTAAAAAGACGTGAGCACGAGCCAAAACGCGCGACTACCCCCTGCTGGCTGACGTACGAACTACAGTAGTAGATCCTTTCATCCAAAAGAAATTTGGTACGCCTAACAGCCTTGCCAGCTTTTGCATAAACGTGACTCACGTCAGAGAGTTGTCCCGTGGAACGCAGAACTCCAACGAATGCTTGTCTTCTCGGGTGCTGGCTACCGAGGATCCTCTTCCCCAAGCCCCCCGGCTGCCACATCTCTGTCAACGACCTAGTGAAGCAACGCCTCCGACACTTCAAGCATGGCTATGCACAATCCCTGTATGAACAAGCCCATGCCGCCCCTCGCCCAGCATCAACCCCTTCCTCCAACTCTGCAGCTGCCCAACTTGCTGCCGACGAGGACAATTACCACACTACCTATGCCCGTGTCATTTCTGCCCTCCCAGTTGCCTCCATTACCCCGGAAATCCAACTGCTCTGCGAGAAACTCTACCCAGAACCCACCTCCTACGTTGCCAAACACCCCAAGTCCACCCGGCAGTCTGGCTGCCCCCCCTCCCCACCCTTACCTCCTCCCTTCGGCACCTCAAGCCAGGCACAGCTGCTGGTCTTTGCTGACCTCCCAGAAACCGCCAAAGGCTTCGGACTCTATCAACCCAAATGATCCTCCCATCAACTGTACCTCCCTGCCCTGAGCAAAGTCCTCCAGCTTATCCTTGACAACAAGATACCCCTTAGCTTGCTGTGTGCTTCTCCGCCAACTACTTCATGGCGCTTCACAAAGACCCAGATGATCCCACCAAGCTTCGACCCATCGGGATGGGCAGTGCCCTCTGGCGAGTTAGCGGTAAATATGCAATGCAAATCCTCCAGACTCAGCTTGCCTCCTTCCTTCTTCCCTATGGCCAGTTTGCCATCTCTGTCAAAGGTGACCTCCAATTCATGGTGGATAGTGCCAGAGCCCAACTTCATCGCTATGTTGCCTCTTCACTTCCCGCAAGAACCCTCTCCGGCTCCAGAGTTCCTACTCCTACTAGATTCCGCACATGTTCAGTGATGCTCGGCTGCTGTTACACGACTTCCTGTATTGAATTCTCGGACTTCTCTGCCTTATACCCTTCTTTGATTCTGTGTAGTGGCAACCCCATCATGCTACTATATGATGACACTGGCAACTTGATGCGTCTTCATCAAAAGCGCAGCCGGTGCCCGGGCCCTGGCTGGCCATCCAGTGTCTTTCCTTTGCCTCTCTGGTCAAGGTTCTTGCTCCTCAACAGAAAGCGTACCCTCAGAATTGCCGCAGGCACCAGGAGATGTGGCATTGGCTCGCCCACGGCTACTGTTTATCTCCTACATTTTGATGACACCAACACCAACACCTTCATCCTCTCCCCCGACATTGTCCCCTTCCTTGACACTTTCCAGACCAAAGATAAACCCCTAGGCCTACAGTTGAACTACTCCAAAACCAAACTACTCACCAGCACTTCTGGCACCCCTTCCAAAGACCCCCATGTCCAAGTCTGATTCTCTTCATCCAGGACCAAGCAGGCTCTCCCTTGTCAACCCAGAAATCACCACTGGTGTGACATTCCTAGGTCAACCCATTGGCTCCAAAGCATTTGCTGATCAATACCTAACCCAGGCTGCTACCAAATACACCACCAACCTCTCCAAACTGTGGGCCAGCACCACAGACCTGCGCACCAAGTGCCTTCTCTTCACTCTTCGCGCCCTGCCTTCCATTCAACATCTTCCTTGCATCCGATGTTTATCACTACCCACTACACCACTCCACCTCCCCCTCTTGACTGGCACTCTCCATTCCAGTCCACCATCTCCACTGCATCCCACTCCTTCATCTCCCAACTTGGTGCAGCCACCTCCCTACCACCTGTCTCCCAACACCTCATACATCTCCCTGTATCTGATGGTGGCGTCGGCACACGCAACCACTCTGTCTCCTCCATCACAGCATTCCTCGTCTCCACCACCAGAAACCTACGCTAGACTAGTATGCCACCGCCGGCATCAATGTCGGCCCCAACCACATGCCTCCCTCCCTACCACCATGGCCCGCACACTTGCTCTCGGCAACGCCCATCTACAGCTGTCCCTTTTCTAACTCTTCAACACTCTCCTACCCACTTCCACCCCCTACCATTCCCTCCCTCCACCACTCTGATGCCCCCTTTCTCCCAGTAATTCGTCACCGATGGCAACTCCAAGGCCTTGCCGCTGCCATCTACACCAAAACCACCCGCCTACACCTCGACTCATTCCTCTCTACGCTCCTGCCTCCACCCTGCCATCTTCCCCTCCATACTCTCCCACTACACTGCCACCCCCTCCGGTCCTACAACTGCCGGTTCCCTCACAACAGACTACCCAAGCAATGACATCTTCCAGCTCCTCTACCAATGCAAGCTCCGACTAGCCATCCTCCCTCCAGCCATCTCCAACCAACCTTGCCACCACTGCAAACATGTACTCTTAGACCCCTACGGAGACCACTTCCTTCAATGCACCCACTACAGCAAGAAACGGCTAAGTGATGGCATCCGTGATGCTGTGTACCATGTGCTCACTCATTATGCCCCCCTTGCTGGCATAACTCCATCCAAGGATGGTGTCACCTGTGAAACCCAAGCCCTGCTCGACACTCAAGGCTACCCCAACCAATGCCCTGCCGATGTTGGCATCTCCCTCAATTCCTCCTGCCTTCGCCCTCCACCTACCACTCCATCCTCCTTCCTTGCTATCGACATTACTGTTACCAGCCCTCCCGAATCCTCTTGTGCCCGGTCTGCCCACCAACCCAAAATCTTTTCCCAGGCCCATCTCAAGTCAATCCAAAGTAAGCTCACAACAAAATCTCACACTGTCCCTGCTCACTACTTTACAGCTCTCCAAAATGCAGGTGTTATCCTACTCCCCTTCACCGTTGACCCATTTCTTGGCCTCGGCCCCTTTGCCCATGCCCTTCTCTATGGCTCCTCCCGCCAACCACCCCCTCCCAGCACCCCCATGGTCTGACAAACTACCAACCCACTCCCAACGCTCCTACAGCCAACTCCTTTCAGCTCCAACCGCCATCCTCCCCAACATCGATACACACTTCGTCACTCCCACCAACTACTCCATTGACACCCAACTCTACACACCTTCACGATGGGCACACCAATCACTCGCCCTCAATCTATCTACCCACTTGGCCCAACACTTTCAACACGCCATTACATGCCAAGCTCGATCCCTCTATTCCTCCGGCTCACCCCCATCCTCAGTACTTGCCGGTCCATATATGCCTACGTCACGCCCTGAACCCCATGATCCCTACCCATACTTTTTACAAGCAGACGTTACCTAGTGACGTTCCTTTCACGTAATTCCCTTTTTAGTTATTATTATTATTATTATTATTATTTTAAGGAATCGAATCTGAGAGGCATGCAAGATGATGTCTTCTCTCGATGATCACGTACGGCACCGTACAACAATTGCAGTGGCCCGGAAGAGGTCCTTCGGTTGGCATTGTTCTAGTATACCATAACTTGATTGTAAGCATTTGTAAAAGTGGGCACAGATATGGTGACGAGAGAAAAGAAACGTCTTATCTTCCGTTGGCAGAAGGTGCTGTGGATGTCAACACTCTCGCTACAAGGAACTAATGCATTCTTGGAAGCCGGGAGGAAACCCCGGCCGCGGTGTTGTCCTCTTCAATCCCCAGTTGCACTGCTACCGCTACAGGAGAAATCTTTGGTCAGTACCATCGGTTACCCTACTGCCAGCAGCACTTGTCTCCCCTCTTTGAGGCTAAGTTTTCTGGAGGACTTTGCTCCCAGCACCACCCAGCTTGTGCCCATATTCTCCTTCGTGTCTACGCTGTGGAAACACGCGCAAGGAGTATTTGATCCCCTCTTTCAGCCAGTCCAGGGGCAGAAGCTCCAAGCATTGTCGGGGGCAGTGACAGCCAATTTGGCAAGCTTAACTTTCTGGAAGGATTTCACAGCATCGTTGCAGCGCGTGGGTGAAGTTTCTTTTCTCACTCTGCTATTCGTTTCGTTGATGCAAGGTGGAGTGGCCGTGTTTCAGTATAGAACAAACCCTAGTGGAGAATTAATGGTGCCTCCAGGGCTTACTGTTGGAGAAGAACTACCACTCCAACAACTGCCACTGAAGAATGGAACCCAGCAACTTACACCCACTACCATGGCGTCCTTGATACGATCAGGAGCTCAGTCCAACTCTACAACTACGGGCACTACAGACACTACAGACAATGCTCTTTTTGCAAGATTGAATGCGCAACGACAAGAGCTGCAGGCTCTGCTTTCTGTTGATGAAGAAGAGGAGGGCAATCTCCAAGAGCAAAGCCGGTATGCCAGGATTCTACATCGTGTCAATCGTCTGCTGGTGGTGTTGGTTCCGTGGATAGCTGGGCACGCCACTTTTATTTTACAAAGAAATGCACACCTGTTTCACATTGGATCGATCCTGACTCTAACGAGCATCTTTGATACACCCCAAAGCTTCATTCAAGGATATCAAAAAAGGATGGTGGCTCAGACCAATGCCTCATCCCTTGCAAAACCAAGTCAATTCAGTCTTTCACAAGGCGATCAGGAGCATTTGGTGGTCATTGGAGATTCACTGGCAGTAGGTTTGGGCAGCGTTGACAAGTATGACAAAAACAAAAACAACGACCTTCCCTTCTACCGAATAGAGAATCTTGGCAACCCCCCTGAGGAATTGACCACGTCCAGCAGCTCACAACAATCCCAAGGCAGCAACCAACGAAAGAAAGCAGGGCCAGCGTTTCCAAAGTCTCTCGCACGAACGTTGGCGCAAAGGCTCGAGAAACCTGTTAAATGGCGGTCGGCTGGAGTCGACGGCGGAGACATTGAAAACATACGAAAATACTGCCTTGGCGTCATTGAAGAGGAAATCTCTGCGGGGAGGACACCGGATGCAGTAGTGATTCTTTGCGGTGCAAACGACATGAAGTACTGCTTATCGAATCCCTTACAAAGGTACAACTGGCCCAAAGCTTTCCGCTCCAAATTGAAAAAGCTCATTGAAGACATCCAAGCCATGGCACCAGAAGTGACCATCATCCTCCCTGCCCTTCCAACTCAAACATTCCACAAGAACTCGCCTCTGAATGTGTTTCCTCTTGGCTTCCTGGTGGACTCTATGATGGGCTTTTGGGACTCGCAAAAGAAGTGTGTAGCAGATTCCTTCGACTCAATAGGAGTCCAGTACATTGGATTGTCACCCAGAGAAGTTGGTAATTGGTACAAGGTCTCGCATGAACCACACGATAACAAACCGTCACCTCCTCGAGCCGTGACACTGCTTGCACAAGACGGGGTCCACCCGAACGCACGGTGCTACACGAATTGGGCACAGGCAATTGGCAGAAAAGTGAAACGACAGTTTGGCAAGAACCAAGTCAAGGCCTGAGTTATCGCCAGTGACCACAGAAGGAGTCCCAGACACCATTGCTGGACAAGTTGCTACGAAACTACGAGGCAATCGGTAGTTGTGTAGGCCATTGCTCGTGCAAGGTGGCGTGGAACGTGGAAAGGCCGAGAAGAGGCTCTCGTCTCCCGTTTGGTGATCATTACTTTAAAAAAAAAAGTTGAATCGAATCCAATCTGCCCAGTTGCAGACAATGATGCTACAGATGATACCGGTACTGACCTTGCTTGGTTGCACAATCCCTGGGAATAAAGCTGGCTACTCCATGATGAACGCACCAACAGCGATTAGTCAGGTGCTGACAAGGAGCAAGACTGACAAATTTATCAGTGGAGTATCCGGAAATGAGGCATTTGATGTCAAATTGACATTTTGATGTCAATCCTGGAAACAAGACTCAATTTTGATTGGTTTTGACTTTGTTTTGATTTTTTGACAGTCAAAACGGTTCAACACCTGACAACATCAAAATTGACAAATTGACGCAAATCAGCAAAATCATCGTCAATCAGCATCAGTCAACACTGTCAATTTTTTTTTGATTTTTTTTTGAGTCAACACTGATCAATGTTGATCAAAATTGATCAACATTGACAAATTGAACTTTTGATTTGATATTTTGACATTTTGACCACAGCAGACAGCATGCAAAGAACCACCATGATGATGGCTTCCTCTTCCGCGCAGCGAACGACGACGACGCCTCTACTGTTAGCAGCGGCTATTATCTGTTATCAGGGGCTACAGAGCTACAGAGGTCGATCTACCGGAGCGACTGACGAATCATTCTGAATCGATCGAAGATCGATCAAACTTCCTGCTTCCACTTTCCAGTTGGAATCTTTCGCGAGCCATTAGCGGTACTATCACTATGATAAACACTGCCACTACAGTGTATACTACTAAACAGGCAGAGTGTCGATCCAAGCGTCCGCAGCAAGCTGCTGCATTCACTGTATAGAGTAGTAGCTCTGTGATCGGATCCGAGCGGCTGCAGGCGTCGCTCCTTGGAACTTGGAATGAGGCTACGGGGAAGCAGCTCAAGCCGCATGTTTCATCAGTGGCACTAGTAGTAGCCACCATCCATCGAACGGAAGAAGCTTGTTGCCGCCGGCTGTTTCCAGTGCCGTCGAGGCGTCGCTTGTTGCGCGTCGTCTCCCTCGAACGGCTCATGCATAGATGCATAGTCGCTTCGTGGAAGAAGAAAGAAGTCATCGACCCGAGCTCGCTGCCGCTGTTTCCAGCCTATCCAGACAGAAGGAGCATGTCATGGTGGAGTAGTAGCAGTCATGAAAGAGGAGTATCATTGTAAAAGAGGAGAGTTAACATAAGCAGCCCACCATGGTTCTGCTGTCATATGGTCCTGTCAAAACTGTCAAGGAAATGTCAAAATTGATTCAAAGAAAACTGTCAACATCCAATTGAGGATTTTTTTGAGTCAATCAGAGTCAAAATTGATCAATGTTGATCAGTTTGTTATTTTGATGTCAACACTGGCAAATTGATTCTTGTTGACATCAATTGATCAAATTGATCAACATTGACAAATTGACGGTTTTGAGTCTTGTCAAAAGTGTCAGTAACCATCAATTGAAAATATTGACATCAAAATGTCAATTTGACATCAAATGCCTCATTTCCCGATACTCCAGTGTGGTACGAGCTACCTCTGGGTGTACTCCAACACTCCATATATTGTCCTAAGCTTCGCACCGACTGGCTTCTCGCGGGCATGTAAAAGCTTCGAAAGTGCTGAGCAACTACCAGTCGAATCGCAATGCAAGAACCAGCTACTTGTAATGTCCTACTCGTGTTGCAGGTCAATGATGAGTCTGATCGGTTATGACTGTGGCTGAATTTTTCAGGCAAGTTCCATGTTCCAATCTCTGCTAGCATTCTCCCACCAAAGCATCCCATCCTTGCAATGAAAGCCAAAGGCTTCTTTCTTTGCTGGTCAAGCGTCTCCGGTAGTCCACTGTCGCCAGCGTTGAACGGAGGATGCTGTCATTCGCAAAAAGAAACGTCCCCTCATTGATTGTGGATCTCACTTCAAACTCCTCTACCGCAACATTGCCTTCAAATCCACCCTCTGGTCTACAAGAAACACTTCATTCGGCTTGAGACCATTCCTCAGCCTGATAAGATCTTGTGGATTGTTACGCAGAAACATAACCCGAGCATTCCTCATCGTATATCCTTCTAGCAAGGAGACAACGCTTTTCATAGCTGGTCGAGCTTCTCCAGAGGTCCACTGTTGCCAGCGTTTACTGTGGAGATGCCGTCATCCACGGAAAGAAACACGGTCTCGTTGATTGGTGGCCACTCTACTGATACGTGATACCTTCAATTCCATCAGTTTGTCTACATGAAACACGTCATTCGGCTTGCATTGGATGTCAAGAAATGGTCATGCCATTCCTCCGCCTGATAGAAACGTGTTGCTTTTTCCGCAGCGATGTACCCTGAGCAATCCTCGTCGTACTCTGATGCAGTGGCCTCGAGTAGCTCTTTGACAACCTTCTCTGCAATGACTTGCTGCCCATCGTCCAAATACCACACCGCGAACCGATACTGACGAGAGGAAGGTCCCAGTTTGTCTCCAATCATTTTAGACCAGGCCCGTAGAATATCTTCATAGCTGGCCACAGTGGGGTCAAATTCCACAAGAATGGCTTCAGTATGATCCAGAATTTCTTCGTAGGTAGGATCCTTCTGAGTGCCACCAGTATATCCAACTGTTGTTTTGACTACCCCAGCAATTCGTTCGAGACGAAGCTGAGGCGACCAGAATCACCCGCAAGCAATCGCTACCAACTCGTTGGAGGGTGACACCTGGGGCTTCAAGACGACCTCTGGACAATCGTACTCGGGCAGGTAATGTGCTTCCACCTCCTCATCCTCGGCAATCGAGGAGTCGGGGACATGATCCTCCATGTTCATGCTTTTAAAATTAACAACCAACACGTTTCTGTTGACGAGATACCGTGCGCTGAGATCAGAGGTCCAACCCCGTTTTGTCCACCCTTTCCTTTTGTATTGGAAAGGGGTACCGGTACCAGTACCAGTACATGTACAGTATCTACGGATCACGTTGGGTGCTGTGAATCGAGTCGAATGATTCGATTCGATTCGGTTCAATTCGATTCGATTGAATCCAATCATTCGTGGATTGATTTCATTCGATTCTCGCAGAGAGAGCAGTTTTAAAGTTCAGAACGATACTTATAGCAGGAATTACAAAGTCTCCGGAGGGATTAAGTTCTATGATTAGATTCGAAAGCGGTCTGTGATGGCCTAGCTAGCTAGAGAGCAGTTCAGAACGCTCAGAACAATCCGCAAGGAGGTTTGAGGTACCGCAGGATCCTAAGGATGTCCGGTAGAGCTTGGGGGAGCCGGTTCCTTCGCTGTGCTGGGGTAGCGGCTCTACAACAGGGGATACTCGCACAAACAAAGGCAGGGTCAACACGATGGCTTATTAAAAGTACGGAAGGGATAGCTTGGCGTTCCAGCCGTCTTCGTTTCTTCATCGTCCCCGTATTCCAAGCAAGCATGTATTGACCCAACTTCGTCCTCCTCTTTCCTTCGATTTACTTTTCCACCACCCTACGCATAGCTCCGTGCTTGAAACTCAAGAATCGTACCGTACTCCCGGGGATGCATGTCAGGCCAGATACCAGGTACACGCAGAGAGCTCATCGGTCTCTGATGCCAAGGTGTCCAGCCGTCATTCGCAACCAAGGGAAACTGGGCAGCTGTCATTCATTTCTTCATTTCTTCATCGTCCCCATTTCCAAACTTCCAAGTAAAGTGTGCATTGATCCAACTTTCCTCCTCCTTTTTCCTTCGATTTCATTTTCCACCATCCCAACGCAAAGCTGCGTGCCTGAAACTCACGAAGCATACTCCTGAGGATGCCTGTCAGGCTAGATACCCAAAACACATAGAGCTCATTTGTCTCTGATGCCAAGGTGCCCGGCCGTCATTCGCAACCAAAAAGAACCTCCCGAGTCCTACAGAACACTACCTCAGCCAATTCAGAACCTAATTGAGCCACCCTCCAACTAATATTTGCCGCTTCCCATCTTGCCCAAGTAGTTCTGGTGGTATTCCTCTGGATTTGCGCATGCGAAACAAACGGCCAAGGTGAGGGCATGTCACTCCCCTTATGTACAAATTCGACTTTAGCACTTACCAGCTTTGTAGAATCTCGTCACTGGTTCCACTTTGGAAGTGACTTTGGATCTCGTCATGGCCTGCATGCCTCGCAGAACTCCCTCTGCCTCTTCTTTCTGAGCATCGTCCAAGTACCACACGGCCGCGCGGTATTGGCACTTGCTATAGGTGTTGGTTGACGAATGCATTCTGCTCCAAGAAATCAAGAGATCCTCGTACGTAACAACATCTGGATCGAACTCAATCAAAAGAGCCTCTGTGTGGTCCATGATGCTTCGGTAGGTAGGATTCAACTTCTTTCCTCCAGAGTAGCCAACCACCACACGCACAACCCCGTCCATGCTCTGGAACCGGAGTTGTGGACCCCAAAATCATCCGCACGCAACAATCGCCACTTCATTGTTCTCTCCGAGCTCGGGAGTGAGCGACAGCTCAGGGCAAATGTTCTTTTCCGAGGAGCTCATGATTCCGATTCGTTTCAGCATGCGATTTCGATAGATTCCTTGTCGTTTGTCAATTTCTCGCTTGTCGTTTGTCAATTTTTGTGTCCTTCCCGTGTCTTTATTGTCAAGCCAAGCGACAACGCTCCTCTACTGCAGTGGGTATGCGGACGATACGTACAAGACCTACTCGAATAGGAGACAGCCCAGGAAACTCTTAATCCAGAACAACACGGATGAAGGCAGCATGGGAAGAATGGGGTTCGTTGTTCGTTGAGTCAGACTTGCATCGGGGGCAAATGCGTGGTAGGAACGACTTATTATCTCTGAGTACCGTAAAGCTTTAATAAAGGCACCACTCACCGAGTCTTCACGTCCTCACCGAAGAACCAGCCAGACAACGAGGCCAACTGTTCTTTCACAGCTGTAAAGCCACAGCTGACCTTGACTGACCGTCGAAGAGAAGCCGAAGAAGTCAGCTGGAACTCTCTCCAATGGAGAGAAGAAGGATAGATAGAACCAAGGGTTCGAAACAGAGAAGGCTGACATCCAATGCAAATGCTGGGTCATCCTCTCTTGATGAGGAAGAATGCCAGGAAGCATACGGTAACCCATAACCGATGCCAAGAGCCCAGCCAGCTTGCCTTGGAGAGATTGGCTCCAGGCCAAGGGATGGAGCGATGAGGGTGCTGGCTCTACGATTGCTAGCTAGTAGATACCCTGTGCCAAGCCAAGTGTGGTACCGGTAGGGTACGGTACGGGATTAGGTCCACACTGTCTTCATGTCATGAAACCTGGCTAGCTAGCTGGCAAACCGGGTAGACTAATCGGAGAAACTTGTAAGACTGTTTGCTTTTGTTTACATTCTAGAAGTACCGGTATGTGCAGCGGTATGATGTTATGAGCTATAATCTATTTCAGGCGGACGCGCCTTGATGCTGGGATATGTGCAGCAAAAGGAAGTTTTTCTTTTGCTATTGAAAGCAAGAGAGGATGATGTACAGTTGGGAGACAGCGATGCGTTTGAGAGTATGTGCAATGCATCGTTGTCGGTAGTATGGACAGTGTTTCGTATAGTAGAGTAGGGATTGATGATGGTGAATTTCTTTTGGTAGAGCCTTGTATGTATGTGCATGGCTGGATGATGGCTAGTAGAAATTTCAGTTCAAGGCTGGTGCCTGGCGAAAGACCCTCTTGGTGGACGACGGGACACGTTCGACGACAATGATGGTGCCTCGATTTCCGCGAGTCACTCGAATGTCTTCATCGAGGTAGAGGACGTCCAAGTAGCCCCGAGGAGATCGCTTCATGTCGAACTTGACAGCATGCTGCTTGTCATTCTTGGCATCTTCGTCGGTGGGAGTAGATAGCTGGAAGACGGCCTTGAAGATGTACTGGAGGACAGATGCCATCAAGGATCGTTCCTGTTCCGCCTTGGAGTACGCAGAGTCAAAGACTTCTTCCCAGACCGCCATTCGTTTGGGGTCGGACCGAACTTCATAGGTGGGCGTCAAGGAGCCTCCACGAAAGGTCACGCCAAGACGGTTCTCATGGTCGGGGAGGACATAACAGAGTGCGGAATGACACATGGTCGCTGGCAAATCACCCTTGGGAGTGTGAATGGTCAAATCGATCTGGATGGGATAGACAAAGGTCTTTTGACCGTCCACTTGGAGATCCTCCTCCTCGCATTCGAGGATGCTGTTGCGGACCGAGCGAATGGTACAGACCAAATGATGGGGCTGGAAGATGCCAAAGGACAGGCGACCCATCGTGTACTGGACAACAGTCTCTTGACCCGCAGCTGGCTTGATACGACCGGGAAAGTCAGGAGACGTATGCGCGATAAACTCACCAAGAAGCAGAGGGGAAGCAACGGCGTTCTTGGTGGGGTTCATAGCAACCAACTCGTCAACGGCCGCCATGACATCAGGATTCTTCGTGGATCCGTGGTGCTGCTGCAACGCGGCCTTGAGCTTGTTCTTGGCTGCTTGCAGTTTCGTCTCGATGCCGTCAACTGTAATCTCCGACGTTGATACGAAGTGGTTCGCCATGGGCTCGAAAGGAAGTTGGGTTGCTGTTGGTTCTGGCATGATGCTGACAATCATAGTGTGTGTAATCAGTTGGTTTTGACCTGTGTTGGAATTATGGAAGGGGGATGGAGCTTATTCTTTTTCGGGTAGTTTGTTTGGCTCCCAAAACACTCTAGTAAATGCAATGGCCTTCAAGGTCTTCTATGTTGGACGTGAAAATGGGCAGTTCAGGTTCCAAGCTTTTGCCCTCCTCCTGCGTGATGGGCGGTCCCTTCGCCGTAGTTTTCGATTCCGGCAATAAAAAGCAGGGGTGTTCGTGATGGGCAATGGGCAGTACCGACACCATGACCCTCTTCTCTGAGGAGGATAGAATGGAATCAAGTGATGCCCAACAGCTGTCGTTTGATAGATGGCTTCGCAAGGTGTGAGGGCAAGCTGCCAACCAAAATGGGATCTTATTTGAGATGAGTGAAAAGATTGTCCCAAATTGAACTCCTCTCATTTTCAATATGTCTTTTACCCCTATCGTCACCCCACGATGCAACATAGTATTTAAAGGAAAATGATCGTCATCGTCAACGTCATTTGTATGAGTCTAATAATGGTGCACTGCTTCCATGCAACCAGCATCGAAGTACCACTGTTAGATGGCCTCATGACTGTGAGTACGACTGTTGATGCGTACACAGGTACGCAGTGGTGTACGTAGTACGGCCAAAATGGGAAGTGAGTGTTAATTAAATAGAATCATTGTGGTCGCACATTTGATTCTTTTTCTTCGAAGCTTCCAGGTCTGTCGAAGACTCTTCCGCATCAATGCGAACGAGGGGAGGGCATGAGGGCATCACTGAGAATGAAACATTGCCCTTCCCGTGCAGGAGAGAATAATGCAGCTGGATGCTCCATTCGTCGGCTTTCGTTCCAGGTGATGGGGCTTCCAAGTGCACCCAAAAGCTACGTACCCTTTGTACAGTACATTGACAGGAAGAGGGGGCTGTTGCTGACTTCCTTCCCATGATGTCATTGACAGTCAGTGGCCATTGCGGAAAAGCATACCGATTCCTGTAGTTTCCACTGGTCACCACCTTGGCTGTTGGGCTCTCAAGTTGTGACTCGGAGCGGGCCTGGATTGAAGCATCATCTTGCTAGCTAGTGGTACATCGTACCCAAGCTCTTTCTTCTTGCTGGCCGTTCCTTTACTAGAACTCATTTCTGCTGGTTTCTTTGTGTACCGGTACCGGTCCGACGCCAAGCTAGCTCTGCTGGCGCTAAATCGGGGGTCTAGCTAGATCTGCCGCCTTGTCGAAATCAACCAGCAATCCGCATTGCCAAAATTGAGCACCGACAATCAATAATAAAGGACAGCCGACGGGAGTCTTGGCGTCCAGCATTGTTCAACCAACAATCGAATCCTGAAACAGTACTGGTAGTCATCAGATCAATCAATCAACATGGAAGTATCAGTCCCATCATATCCATCAGTGGGCAATCCAGTTTCCTCTTTTGGGAACGAAAATGTTGAGAATTTAGACGCCGGTGAAGAGGGCATTGTTGAGATCTATACTTCTTTGATTCAGCAGTATCTCTCTGTCATGTGTGTTGACAATGCCATTTTCTTAGCAGAGCGCTTTGTGGCATGCAAGAAGTCCAACGACTCTCAGTATTTGCTGGCTCTCTGCCACCATCGAGCTGGTGCACCGAAGCGTGCTCTTGGAGTGTTGGAAAACTGTCAAGACGTTTCGCCCAAAATTCAGTACTTGGTGGCAAAGTGTTGCTTGGAGCTGGGTGACTATGGCCGCGCCGAAGAAGCATTGCTCAATTTTGCAAGACAAGAATACCGAAAATCAAGAGGCAATAGCCTTCCCTCTGTTGCCGACAATTCGCCTCAAGCCATGGACAATTGGATCGTCACCACCACTCCTTGCCCCATTCCAAATGGTGCTGCTGGTCTCCATATGTTGGGGAATATTTGCCGTGCATCAAATCGCAAAAATCGGGCCAAGCAGTACTACAGAATGTCTCTAAAGGTAAGTTCACCACCGCTGACTTGGAAGAGTTGTTGGTTCTGATGTTGCTAATAATATTTGCAACTCATTTACCGTTTACGTTTAGTTGGATCCATTTCTCTGGTCTAGTTATGAGTATTTGTGTGAACTTGGCGGTGCTGACGACCTTGAACCATCCAGTGTTTTTGGTGTTCACCCCCCTCAATTCGAAGCCGTCAAACCTCTTCAGGATCGCAGCATTCTGTCGCCTAGTAGTTTCACGTTGAATTCGGTGACGCCAGCCAACGGTACGTTGGCACTTGCACAGTGATGCTCTTGTCGTTGAATGACACCTTTGTGGTTCACTTATTGTTATTCTCTTCAAGTACGATCCTTTCAACATTCATTTGGTGTTGGGACACCCTCCACTACACCAGCCGCGGCTCTCTTTACGAGTGCCACCACACGAAAGAAATTGTCTCGGTTTGAAACCCCCGGATTGACCCCAATTCCTGCCAGTACTTCTGTCCTGGGCATTACTCCAGCAGATGCAGATGACTCCAAAGTGCTGATGCGGGCTGGACAAGTAGCGGCCAGGCTCTACTATCAACCGTCTCCGGAGACACCGCACACTGCAGAAATCAGAACCTCATTGCAATATCTTCGTGGCCTAGGACGCCAAGTTGAAACGGAGTCGGCATCTGGCACAGGCGACACTCCTCTTCGTCGAGGGGGTGGCATGAGAGAACAGAACGCAACAGACCAATCTGCCATGTCATCTTCCTTTTCCAGGCAACCAAGAGCTTTGTTCATGTCCACGGATAACAGCACAGCAGAAGAAACAGACCGCGTCGATCAGCAGCAGTTTTCGGGTTCCGAGGGGAGCCATGCTTTCGATGGGGATTTGAGTGTTCCAGCAACAAAACAGGAAGGTATTAGGGAAATCCTAGGATTGCTGTGCCTCATTGGTTCAGCTTGGCGAAGGCTGTGCCAGGTAAGTCTTATGCTGTTACCAATGCATGCTGAACTGGTTGTCTCCTGTAACTAATGGATTGTTTGCTTCCATCATCAGTATCGCTGTCGGGAAGCGTTGAAGATCTTCAGCCGGCTGCCCCAAACACAGCAACAAACCGGGTGGTGAGAACTTTTGTAGCCAAATGACACGGTCTTGTTCTGCTGGGTGCTAACATAACAGAATCCTTGCTTTCCCATCCCATTTCCCAAACCCAGGATCCTCCATCAGCAGGGGCGAGCCCATTTTGAGATGAATGACTTTCTAGGTGCAAGTCGTTGCTTGGAACTTATGCAAAGTGTGGAGCCACATCGCATGAAAGGCTTGGATCTGCTGTCCACAGTGTATTGGCAACTAAAGAAGGAAGTTGAATTGGCCCATTTGGCTCAGAAAACGGTCGACTTTGACAACAAGTGTCCCGAGGCATGGTGTATTGTGGGTAATTGCTTTTCACTGCAGAAGGAGCATGAGACAGCACTGTCATATTTCAAGAGATCCTTGCAGTTAGACCCCACTTTCACATACTCTCATACGCTTTCAGGATATGAATTCACAGCTCAGGAAGATTTCGACAAGGCAATTGCTTGCTTCCGGAACGCAATCAGATCTGATGATCGCCACTACAATGCATGGTATGGACTTGGAGCTATCTATCATCGACAGGAGAAGTATGATCTGGCAGAGTATCATTTTGAGAGGGCATCATCGATAAATCCCCAGAGTTCTGTTTTGCGATGCAATTTAGGAATCTCCCAGTTTTCAAATGGGAAGGCATATCTGGCCTTGGCCACACTCGAAGAAGCCTTCCGTCTCGACCCTCGGAACCCACAGGCGAGATTCCAACGTGCCACTATCTTTTCTGCCTTGAATCGCCCTGCTGAAGCATTGAGAGAACTGGAGAAGGTTCGCAATGCAGCTCCTCGTGAGGCTACCGTTCACTTTGCAATTGGCAAAATGCTGAAGCGATGTGGAAGGCTGGAAGAGGCGATGAAATCTTTCCTTACAGCGATGGACTTGGATCCAAAGGACTCCCAACTCATCAAGAGTGCGATGGACAAGCTAGAAGAACCAGACGTAGATGAAGGTGTTGCTGGTGAGCAGTGGTGAACAGGGATGAGGAACAATATTATGAACGTAGAAAGAAAGACATCCGATAATTTGCTCGATTCGTCATTCAATCAACTAGTGCCAAGTGATGTACTCGTACAAGGTACTGTAGCTAGCCAAGGCATGATTGTACAAGAGGTATTCTTAGCTGCTTACCATATTAGGGAACTCCCTAATTCTATGATTCTATACTTGACTGGTCGAATTGCAATCGTGAATTGTGGTGGAAGCGGAGGTCATTGTGAGCTCCTGCATACTGCTGGATGCATCCGACTGCCGATCAGCTCCACAGAACCATCGATCCTCCGAATCATCACGAGTCGTCGGAGCCGAGTGCTGCTGTAGATGCTTAGAATACCGCGACTGTTGCTCTTGAGCTTGACGACTACCCGCGGATAGTTGATGGCGCGGGGAGAAATGAGACGGGAATTCCAAAACAACTTCTCGGTCCTCCCAACCGCTTCTTTGGTTGTCTAGCTCGCAATGGTTACGCGGACTGCTCTGTTCCGCGTGAGTTGTTATTGTCGAGGTTCGTGGAGCCTTTTCCTTGCTGCAATCATTATCAAACTGCTCCACTATGGAACCCAGTCGATCAAAGACAGCCTTCATGGACAATCTCTCCGACACGTCCTGGGTCCATGCTTCCTCCAACAAGTCTGCCATTCCAAGAGGCCAGTCAGCGACGAGAACGCATTTCGGTCGCTGATAATGCAGCCACTGCTGCGGAGACGACTGGTCCGACCGTGACAAATCTGAAAGGCACTCCTGTGCCACACTGTCATCCTCGAGTGGGATGGTCAAAGTGCTGGCTGTGATTTCATTCAAATTGGTGACCAGTCTTGGTCGTTCTCCTCGACCCGCAACAATCTTTGTATGTTCTTCGGGTGTGTATTCGGCAAATGGTTTCTTCCAAGTCATCAATTCCAGAATAACCATACTGGTGCTGTAAACATCCGCCTTTAAGTTATACCGTCGGGTATTGATGATTTCTACAGCACGAGTTGACAAGAGCATAACAAAAGGCGCGTTGAGGTTTCCCAAGCTGTAAAATCTTCCTGATACAGAACAGATTGTGCAGGACTATGATTGCGTTCTTACCTGGCGCCATGTATCGTTGGGTGCCGACACCAGACATGTGAAAGGTTTCTTCATCTTCCATATCTTCGTCGTGGGCCGCTTGTCCCTTTGGCTTTGGTAGCTCTCGACAGAGGCCAAAATCAAAGAGTTGAATGACGTCTCGTTCGCGAAACCCCAGGTTGGAAGGCTTGAGATCTCTGTGAAGACAAGACAAGACAAGACAAGGAAAGGCAAGCAACTCGGTGAGAGAAGGTCCCAACAACAGTGCAGACAGAACCAGAACAAAAAGTCCCACTTGTTTGTGTGATTTGATAAGCTTACCGATAGACAATCGATTTATCGTGTAGATAGTTGAGCGCATCGGCAATCTGATGAGCATAGCGCAATGTTCTCTGATAGTAATGTGGTGGTGGGTTGGCCCCAGCGACAAGGAGCGGATGTGTCGTAGTGGCCGTGGACCCATCTGCATCCCCTCCCGAAGAGGGAGACGCGTGCCGTTGTTGCCATCGCTGGAGTCTGTTTTCCAGTGTTTCTTGTAGGTGATCCATAATGATAAAGAAATCGTCGTGCTTGCCCGTTCGAAAGGCGGCACTACCTCCCTTTGTGAGAGCCCGTATTTTGATAATGTGTCGATGCGACAGGGCTGCCAGGTACTTGGATTCCACAGCGAGATCGATGGCAGCATGTTGGAATTCTCGTGTATTGCTCAGGAGTTTCTTGCGTAAACACTTGATGGCGTAGTTGGGGCGACCCGAGGATGAGGAAGTGACGGCTGCTTTACAAGCTCGTCGTCGCGCCTCGGTAGCGTCAAAGAACTGGGTGATATCGCTGCTGTCAATGGAGAAGTCCGAGACCGTGTAGACTTCCGCAAAACCACCTCGACCCAGCATCTTTCCCAACTGAATCTCGGATCGATGAAAGAGCGCAATGTCATTACTTCGATCCGTGAGACTGTTCAGAAACGGCGACTTGTCGCAAAGCGCCGCCACTTCCTCATCGACTACCGCTGCAGCACGACGAACCACACTACTCCTCATCCAAGAATTCCGTTTCTGTCGTGCCAAGCCGCTCTTGTTGTTGTTGGTCTTCTTCTTGGTTGTAGATGGAATCCCATGAGTCGACGCAGACCTGGGCAACATCATGGCCTTGGGAGCTTTGCCAGGCACTTGGACCGAGTGGGTACTGGTCGCTGGTAGAGAGGAACAAGACGACAGTGTCCTCATGTCGCTACTAGTGACAGAGGTGGCCCCACTGGAAGGTTCGGGAGTAATGCAGGAGGTCGACATGGCTCTTTGGATTGTCGTTGTTGTGTTATGTTGTATGATGTGAAAACGGATACTATCGTACCGTTGACTCTCTCAACTCAAAAGTTTGCCTGGTGCTGGTGGATACCTTCCTTTCGTCTCGCACTCTTTCCTCTTGCACCCTGTCGTCCGTTCACTTCCACACTCCAAATACCGTGCCAGGAAGCTATCTACCCGTACAACAGGACCCTCGCCTCTCCTCAAACTCAAGCGGTAACACACTTCCGCTTCCACGGACAGAGAAGAGAGAGAGTGAGCAAAAGAGCAGCAAAAGCGGTGAGGGACCAAGCAAAGAGAGACAGAGTTCGACGTTGCCTTGCTTGTGCAGTTGTGCGGAACTTGATGTGAAGTGAGAAGAAGCGGTATTCGCTACCGTTAAGTGTGAAGGCCCCATGTTCTGCTTTGGACATTGAAAATAAGAGCATGTTAAGTCTAGCAATCTTTTTTTATTTATTGGAGGTCATGGATTGAACCATTCGATACAGCTAAATGAGTCGAGAAAGGGGGAAGCAAATGCTTCCCGCGCTCGGGTTGCACTTGCAATTGGTGGCTTGGAGGTCGCTCCGACATGCATGGTCTTGATATGACTTGGTTATCGGCAGGAGGAAAAAAGAAGGAGGGGGGGAGGGTGAGCGTCCTTCTGATATCGACTTTTCTCCTGGCCACCTCACATGCCTCCACGTGTAGTTTCCCCA